CCCCCCCCGCTTCGGAGGCAACAAAGAATTGTCATGGCACGGCCATTTTGGCAGCTGGAAGAAATCTGATTTATTATGAGAGGACACTTGGGTGTCCATGAAAATGTTCTGTTTATCTGCAAAGATTGCAAAACAGTTCAAATTTATTTCCTGAGAGATGCTCTTAATTTCAGGACAGTTTTTCCTCTCTAAGAATCTAGATTCATTTTCCTTAGTTATTGTGAAACTAGTCTAGAAGATTTTTATATTAGGAAAGGAAAAAGAAAGAAAAACAGAGATAGCAGAGGATGGTTTCGATCCATCGACCTCTGGGTTATGGGCCCAGCACGCTTCCGCTGCGCCACTCTGCTGCGCGCTAACGTTATCTTCTAATAATACTCTTAAGGCTGTCTACAAGCTATATGTTCAGCCCACCTACAATTAAACCGACTTGAGATAAATCGCCTTTGGATCATAGGATGCAAATTGCTTGGAATAGTGCTGCTTACAGAATCAAAGACAAAACTAGAAGAGAAACGCAGACACTTGCACACTGGTGAGTTACTGGGTGCAGATGCAAAGGGCGGTCAGACTTTAATAAGCAGGGGGAGCAGGGTAGGTCGGGAATGGAACCCGGGACTCCCGAGGGCATTATGCTGCGAGTCAGTAACCGGCCGTGTCTGTCTCTGCCTTCGGGGAGGAGACACTTTTGTTCAGGTTTTCTTTGGCGTGGCGATGCAGCCAATCGAGCGTGTTTCCTTTCTCTCCAGTGAGGAGCGGTAACGGGGACAAAGGTGGCTTCCAGAGACTGCAGTTCTGGTCATGTGGTGAAAGTTCCTGCGCAGCTGTTCCAAAGCACACGATAACCACCAAATGCGGTGTATATTTTTTTGGTTTGGCGTAGTTGAAACGTGCGAAAACTCCCCTTTGGGGACAAAGAGCCCGCCTGAAAGACCTGCGTAGAGAGCATGCTCCGGCGGTGGCCCCGGATGTTAGTGACGTCATCTGGGCTGAGCTCTGAAAGGCGGGGCGAAAGGCCCCACGTCTTCAGTCTTCAATCAGGTCCGAAATCCGTGCATATAAGGGAATTGCTTCTCAGCTTTCACGCTTTGGGGACGTTTCCGTAGCGCTTTAGCCATGTCTGGTCGCGGCAAAGGAGGGAAAGGTCTGGGCAAAGGCGGCGCCAAGCGCCACCGCAAGGTGCTGCGCGACAACATCCAGGGCATCACCAAGCCCGCCATCCGCCGCCTGGCCCGCCGTGGCGGCGTCAAGCGCATCTCCGGGCTCATCTACGAGGAGACCCGCGGCGTGCTCAAGGTGTTCCTGGAGAACGTGATCCGCGACGCCGTCACCTACACGGAGCACGCCAAGCGCAAGACGGTCACGGCCATGGACGTGGTCTACGCGCTCAAGCGCCAGGGCCGCACCCTCTACGGCTTCGGCGGCTGAGCGTCCTGGTCCCGCCATCCCTGAACTTTATCAACCAAAGGCCCTTTTCAGGGCCGCCCACAGCTTTCTTTAAAAGGGCTCTTTCTCTCTTCCATGTTTATGTTGCGTGTTGGGTTTTATTTCGTCCTTTGTCACGGCGCGTCGTGTTCTGTTGTAACCAGTACTCGCTGACCCAGGGCTGTGTGTAGCTATGGCGGTCCTCTGTGGTGCAAGAGGTGAGTGGAGCTGCCCCCACACGGTCTCCGCACTGGAGCCGGCGTCTGGAGGCTGCCTGCCCTGCCTCCTGGTGCACAGTGTCCCTGGAGCGTCCTCTGCTGTACAGAGCGCTGGGTGCGCGCAGCAATGTGTAGGTGCAGGCCAGCAATCGGCGTGGAGTTTTAGTGCGGTTTATTAGAAGGAGGAACGCTAAGACTACGACGTGGATAGGACGTTAATGAGCAAACGCAAACATCCTTATTTACAGAAATGGGGGTATGTTTAAATGCAGGCATCGGTGGACTTGTTAGGTGCACTATTTAATTCCCACACTCTCCTACTGTTAACTAGTTTAAACCAAAGTCTCAGGGTCTATATTTCGTTTACGTAGAAAATATCCTAAATAATGGTTGGCTCAGAGAGTGAACCACGTTTCTGTTTGTTTCGGCTCTTAAACCGTCCTTCGGAGTTCCTGTTTTTATTTATTGTTTTTAGATATTGATTTGCTTGCGATTAGTCCCTCAGATGTTCCATTAGTTTGACATTTTTGGAAGTGCTTTGCAAAATGTTTTACTTCGTTTATTTATAATGTGAAGTAGAAGCGATTTGCTTGAAATTTGCACATCGCATGAGGGGCACAAGATGTTTGGTTTATCCAAATGCAAGTTGACATAAATGCTTGGCATAAGGTGATAGTTTATTGTAAAATAAGGCCTTTCTTCCCTTATAGCAAGCGATCTGTAAGGTGCTACTTTTATATCAGAAAAGCTAACAAAGGCATTTTGAATATCATCTTTTTATAAGATGGATTCTTGCGTGTCAATATGGGGGGAATCTATTGGAGCAAAGGCATTAGTTTGAGGAGAAACCTCCATAAGGATATCGTAGCATTTTTATTTTCTATGGTCTGATATTTATAGCAGTGGGTGGAAATGAATAAAAATAATATTCTTATGTTCATTTATGGAGTTTATTTGGTGTGGGTGTGTAAGCAAATACAAGTGTGTAAGATGGTGTTTAGTGCTATGAGATTACTGAAGCAGAGAAAGGCACAGTGTGTGAAGGAGAAGGTAATATTTAGATGATAGCGACATAGAAAGTCCATTGACAAATGGAAAGGAGAAAAGACAATGGGAAAATGAAGCAGTGTTCCTAGTAGGACTGCCTGGGGTGTAGGAGAAGGAGGCAAGGTCTGGGAAGCAAATGGAAGTGAGTAGTTCCTATCTGGCCTCCTAGGCTGGTGTGTAACTGCTTTCATTTTTACATTGAATGAGGCGGAGACCACTGAACAATTTTGAGCAGACAACTGACAAAATCTGATTTACTTCAAAATGATCTGTTTGCATGTCTGGGGAATTGCCTGATAGGACGAGGGTAGAAGCCAGGAGACAGGCTATTGCAACAAGTCAGAGGAGACGACAGTGGCTTGGGCTTCAGTGTTAGTGGTTGAGGCTGTGAAAAGTGGTAGATTTCAGATATTTTTATCCACACTTCCACCCCCACCCTGAGCTACTGATATAGGGGACTAGAGAAAGATTTACCATAATTCCAATGATTTTTAGCCATAGCAACAAGGATGGAGATACCAGTTACTAAAATGGGAAGAGTAAGGAAGAAACACGTTTCAGAGAGAATTAGTCTTAGTTTTGTATATTCAGAGTTTGAAAAGTTGTTAATATCTAAGAGGAAGATATGAAATGGGCAGTTGATGTAAGAGCCTGGAGTTTAGGGTAAAGGTCTGAGTTGGAAACGTAATTGACATGAAAATAGAGAAACTACATGATGAGATGCAACTTATTAGGAAAGAAGGTTGATAATGAAGAGCAGCAATTCAAGGGCTGAGCCCTGGTTCAAATGAATGAGCTCTGTTTGTGATATGTGGATTCCTAACTGATGGTTCTACAGGTGCTTCCTCAATCGATTCTCTTTTTCTCCTGTAGCTTCTTCTGTAGAATATATATTATCACCACTTTATAGATGTGGAAGAATACCCTTAAGTTATAAATATAGGCAATGAAATTGAAAATTTTACTCAACCTTTTAAAGCCATGGGGTTATTACTATGAGGATCCAGTGATATACATGCATGCCTTTTCCAAAGTGCACCTCTTTCCCCACATATTTTGCAAACAACTCCAGGGAGTTATTGGGCTTCCTGAAACCCATTTGTGAAACTCAGCTCAAGAGTCCGATATCAAATGCTTTTCTCCTAGCTTTACTAATCCTTGTGGCTCTGTGAACATGGATCTTGAGAATGAAAATCTGGTTCTGTTGAATTGATGTTAATTCTGTTGACTTGTTGTTATCGAAATATCATCTGCATGTTGATTTGGAAATTAAATCACAGCCCCCAGATTTCCCTTGAACTCCAGTCTCAGAAACCATACTACTTTTTTGGCATCTGTGCCTGAAGTCCATCAATAGCCACTTCCAACTTAACAGTCCTCAGACAGCATTTCTGACATGACCGCTGCAGAGTAGCTCCTCTTGGATTTAGTGAGTGGTGATTCTCACCTGTCAGCTAGAGTCATATCATTTTTTTTTTCTTTTCAAACTCTGTATCCAGTTCATCAGCAAGTACTAAAAACTCTATTTTAAAAATACAAATGGAATCCAACCGTATCCCATTCTGATTGCTGAGGCCTGGTCCAGCCAGCCCCACTGTCCCTTCTCATCCCTTCTCACTTATGATTGCAGAACCCTCACCTCCTGGGCCTGCTTTTGCTCTCTCCCCCAGCGCAGCCAGATGGATTGCAATAAAGGGCAAGTCAGACCAGGTTGCCTCTCCACTGGAAAACTTCCAGTGTAAAACCCTAAGTCCTTTCATTGGTCCACAAAGGTCTTGTTACTCATGTGGCCACAGATCCCAATTCCTTTCCCAACTTCATAGTCCCTGGAGCTCTCTTGAAGTAATGTCTCTGTTTCAGGGACTGTGCACTGATAGTCCCCTCTCTGAGGGCCTCCATGCCACATCTCTGAATGTGTTACTCCCTTACTTCCTTCAGGTTTGTATTTAAAAATCCTGTGGATGAGGCTGTCTGTGACCATGCTGTTTTAGCACTGCAATTTCTATATCTGTCTTCACTTCCTGTTTTCGTCTTCCTTGCAGTTGAGGAGCCTACAGTCTACCAGGAAAGAAAAGCATAACCCTATGGAAGGCAAAGCAGGGGTGGAATACCATAGAGGATGTCAGCAGATGTAATTCAAGTCACTTTTACTTTTTCTGGCAGAAAGGGATGGTAATTTATGAAGAATCTTTTAAAAGCGAGGTGGGCTGTATGCCTATAATTTCGGTGACTTGGGAGCGAGCGCAGGAGGCTGAGGCAGCAGTTTGAGGCTAGCCTGGGTAACATAAGGAAATCCTGTCTCAAAAAAAAAAAAAAAAAAAAAAGGGATGGGGATGGAGCTTAATGATAAAAAAGAAAGGGGGGTTGGGCAGGAAGACACAGTAGGTGATTGATTAAAAAATTCTTTAAAACAAGTCTATCAGCAATTTTTGCAAAGTTCAGGTGTGATTTTCTTATAACCAAATTTCAGTACTAGCAATATTTCATAAATCACAGAGATTCTGACATTTTGTAGAAGGGAGTTGACTTTTCCACTAATATACTTGTTTGTTCTTATTCACAATTATATTTCTACAAACAAACACAAGAGAGTATTAAACACAGACAGGTTGTAAAGGATAATATGATGACCATATTTGAATCCAGTTGCCAGTTAGGAATAACATTATACTGACGGCTGCTTTGACCTCATCTCATCTTTCTGCTACCCATCAGAGGTAACCACAGCTCAGAATTTTGTATTTCCACTTTTTTATTGCCTTAAAAATTCCTGTTTGGCCCTTATATTCATACTACACAAAGTTTTGCTTAACTTTCTCATTTATTCCTCTTCAACTTTAATGGAGCATTAGTTTACAAATAAGAACATATGCTTAGCATGACTGAGCTATGTGGTTTAAAAATTCTCATTCTGTTTTTTTCCTATTGTGCTAGACACTTTACTTTTCCTTAATTTAAAAATGTCGTTCATTTTTGCTTATTAAGATATAGCATAACACTTGGTACAGAATTGTTACTCAATAATTATTTAAATATATTACTTTTCTTTTTAAAATAGGACAGAGACTTTGGAGAGGAAAAGATCTGAGGTAGAACTTACTGTCTGTTGAACACACAAATGGGAATTGTGGAGAGCGTCAAATGGAGAATGTTCTCTGCAGAGCAGTTAATCTTTTTACCCAGAAGAATGTAACAGTACTATTCACATTTTGGCATGGATCCTTCTAATACAGCCTCTCCTTCCGAACTATATTATGTGTGTGAATATATTATAATTGAGAAGACACTGTTTTGGCAATTGTCTTTATCCTCACCCTACCCCACAAACATTTTCTATTTATTTTTATCACAATGTTTTTAATGGTTCTTGCATACTATTTCACTATGGACAAAACCTATTTTTAGCCAAATTCTCAATCATATTTCTGTTTTTTGGGCAAAATTAAGCAGAAGCATAGAGCATGTTTAAAAAATTAGAAGATCAGTAGGATTTTATATATTATTAACTATATGCACAAAAGGAAAGGGAATATTTTAAAATGAAGACAAGATTTCAAAGTTGGATGTGTATATAGAGCTGAGGCAGAGCATAATGAGATCACTCTTGAGTACTATTAAGAAGCATTATCACTCTGTTTTTTTTTTTTTTTTTTTAACCCAGGGCACTTTACCACTGAGCCTCATCCCCAGCCTTTTTTGTTTTTATTTTTTATTTTGAGACAGGGTCTTGCTAAGTTGCTTAGGACCATGCTAAGTTTCTGAGACTAGCTTTGATTTCGCAATCTTCCACCCTGAGCCTCAGAGACCCTATGCTCAGCATTACTACACTTCTTGTTATGGGTTGAATTGTATCTGTTCCAAATTCATATATTGAAGTTTTTAACATCTGAAAATATGACTCTATTTGGAGATAAAGATGCAAAATGAGGTTATTGGGGTGGGCCTAATCCAATCTGACTAGTGAAGAGATTAAGACACATACACACAGAGGAAGACATCCTAAAGACAAAAGATAGCCATCGACAGGCCAAGAAGAGAGACTACAGAAGAAAACTGTTTACAAGTTTGATCTTAGACTTTACCTCCAGGATTGTGAGGACATTTGTTTAAGCCACACATCCTGTACTTTGCTATTTCTAGTGAACTAGAATCCTTCTTAAACATTTTCATTTTTTTTTTTTTTCTGGATGTTTTCAGTGTTCTGCCTGTTTTTCTACTGAGAAAAACAAGCACACAGAACACAGAGCCACCCATAGGATGTTGTACAGAGGAAACTATTTTTTCCTTCTACCCATCTTGGGTTCCTTGACTGGGGGCCTGTAAGAAGGACAAACAAAAGAAAACACATGCACATTCATTTAAGTTTTACATGACATGAGAGCCTTCTTAAGGAAAGAGACCTGAAGAAGCTGTTAAAGCTCTTTTCATGCTGGGGTTGACAAAGTGGACAATCTTGGAGAAGTGTAGCAGGACAAAGAAAATGTGAACTAATGTTAAACTAGGGGAAAACTAGCAAGGCCTGTTGAGTCCTGCTGGGGTTTGCAGGTCTCACAGGAATCTTAGGATGATCTGCTTTAGAGGAGAAGGCTGGGACATGGTCAGAGACTGTCCTAAGCATGCTGTTTCTCAAATTCTTTCACCTGAAAACAGTGTATCAGGGTTCCACCATTTGTGGTAGTATATTCTTAACTCCATCTATCTATCTATCTATATACTATTGAGGGTAAAAGGGAGATAGTGACTTTTTGGAGTCTTCTTTATTACCATGGGAAGGACAGAGAGACAGCTACTTGAAAAAGCCTAAACATGATGTTACTTCTACTTTAAGGGTGAGGTGTTCTAGTGTTCCTTAGAATTCTAGGCACAGGTATTCGCCCATTTTCTCTCAAGTGACCACTGTCAGGGGCAGAGTGAGTTCAGATAAGCTAGGCCTCCTCAGGCAGTGGTTCTGTTCCAATTAAAGCATATACTTGTTAAGCTGAAGAAGTCCTCTAACAAATAGGTACACGAGGTTTGTGGGAATAAGAGGGAGGGAAGTATATAAATGGGAGGAAGCATATACAGTGAGTTAATGAATTGAGAAGTAGGCATGGGGAGACCAAAAATAGATAAACAGATAAATAGAACAAAAACTAAAAAGCAATTCTTACAAGAGTTTCCACATTTCTATCCTTAAGCAATCTGGACCTATCTTTTTTTTTTTTTTTGGTACTGGGGATGGAAAGGACCTATCTTTTTAAGATGAACTTAAACTGAATTCCCAAGAAGGGTCCTATTAGGATAAACAGCCCACAGAAGCTCCTTTTTGTCGTTCAGATCTTACCAATGAGGGTTGTTTTGCAATTAGCCAATCAGACCTAAGCCCTTCAGCCTATTTACAACCCTCATTTGCATAGAGGACCGGAGTGGGAACTTGAGCGGGAACTGTTTTGTCCTTCCCTTTGTTCTTCCAAAGGGCTCGGCTAAGGAACCCCACACGAATGTGAAGGCCTTGAAACCTACTTCTCTTAATACGCAATCTCAGGGAATTTAAGTAGTTGTGGACAAGATCCATTATCAGGTTAGGAAGAACCCGAAAGAGTCTTTGGAGCCACAGAAGCCTCTGGACCTACCCATTATTATGCATACATTCACTATTCCCCAAACCGGTGAAGTAATGTTGACAATTAACTGCTTTACACTTTGCTCTTAATTGACCAGGTATAAGACAAATAGTTTAAAACCAGTATCATGTATTGTTCTAACCATTTTCTGTCATCGTGTTGAGTTGCAGTTCTTCCATGAAAATGTGGGTGGCTCTGAAAAGAGCCTTTGGGTTTAATACACGCATTCGCAGGACTGTTTACTTGGAGCTGGTGTACTTGGTGACAGCCTTGGTGCCCTCCGACACCGCGTGCTTGGCCAGCTCGCCGGGCAGCAGCAGGCGCACCGCCGTCTGGATCTCCCTGGACGTGATGGTCGAGCGCTTGTTGTAGTGCGCCAGGCGCGAGGCCTCGCCGGCGATGCGCTCGAAGATGTCGTTCACGAACGAGTTCATGATGCCCATGGCCTTGGACGAGATGCCGGTGTCGGGGTGCACCTGCTTGAGCACCTTGTACACGTAGACGGAGTAGCTCTCCTTGCGGCTGCGCTTGCGCTTCTTGCCGTCCTTCTTCTGCGCCTTGGTCACCGCCTTCTTGGAGCCCTTCTTCGGGGCAGGAGCGGACTTCGCTGGCTCAGGCATAGTTGAACACCACTATCAAGATCCAAGCTAGAGAAACTGTGACCACAAACTCAAAACACTCTTAATATTTGCTTGCTTGTATGCAAATTAAGGATTGCAGAATTGCTCCTTCTCATTGGCTGTTTTAGTATCTTAACCTCTCATAGGCTATTTTTGAAATCTAGCTCTTATTGGTTCTTTCCGTAGCTCCACCTTACTTTGAACTTTCAACTACAAACATTCCATGTAAATTAGAGGCGTTCTTTTTTTTTTTTTTAACCATCTGCCTTTTAATTGGCTGAAACTTGTCTTCAGCTCATGGCATAGGCTACTTTGCAAAACGGTCTGAGAGTATAAAAGGCTAGCTGCTTGAGCGCTTGTACACCGTTTTTCTGGTTACTGTCACTTTCGTTCCTGTTCTAACATGTCTGGACGCGGCAAACAAGGCGGCAAGGCGCGGGCCAAGGCCAAGACGCGCTCTTCCCGGGCGGGCCTGCAGTTCCCCGTGGGCAGAGTCCACCGTCTCCTGCGCAAGGGCAACTATGCCGAGCGGGTCGGGGCCGGCGCGCCCGTCTACCTGGCGGCGGTGCTCGAGTACCTGACGGCCGAGATCCTGGAGCTGGCTGGCAACGCGGCCCGCGACAACAAGAAGACGCGTATCATCCCGCGCCACCTGCAGCTGGCCATCCGCAACGACGAGGAGCTCAACAAGCTGTTAGGCCGCGTGACCATCGCGCAGGGCGGTGTCCTGCCCAACATCCAGGCAGTGCTGCTGCCCAAGAAGACCGAGAGCCACCATAAGGCTAAAGCCAAGTGAAGCAACCAAAGTCTGTGTGTAGCTACCTAAGACCCAAAGGCTCTTTTCAGAGCCATCCACATTTACACTTAAAGAGCTTTGTAACAGGCTTTATCTAGTTTTTCTAGCACAGTAGGTAATCTGACCAGAACCCTTAAGGTCATTCGCTATACCCGTGGCTCAAGTATGAGACGCCCTGAAAGCTGTGAGGAAGGAAAATGAAAAGAGCTAGTAGTTGCTTTCAAGTAAAGACTGGGCATGCAAGTTACGCCCAAACTTTCCTAAATGGAGGGTTGGATCAGATCACAGTTTCCGTTGTCCTTTGTTGTTAGAATATTTCTCTAGCAAAGGAAACCAAAAATAAACCGTATGATTTTTTTGAGTTTGTGGAAAAGGTACCCGAGGAATATGCTGCCTGGACTGCTAAAAACAGCGCAATGTAAGATTCCTGAAAAGTAACCCTGAGCCTTCACGTTAACCTAGAGGATCCGGCAAAACTCCATTCTATTTGGGCTAGCTTTCGCATATCAGTTAACACTTGCCCAGTGACGTTGGGGCCAGGCATTTGCCGGTAATGTCCCAGGTACTCCATCCAGAAATGTATATAAAGGTCAAAGCTTCCACAAGTTGAAACTAGGCGCGGGCAGTCGAGGTGCCTAGAGGGAACCTCCTCCAACCACCAAATACATCTGTTCTTAGAGCGTTAGGAATCTAGTCCCACCACACACCAAACAAATGAGAAGTAGCATATTCCAAGACCTTCTAAGTGGTTCGTTAGGGACAGTACAGTTTCAGGAGAGTGGAACTAGACATCTAGGAAATTAGCTCCCTGGGTCTCAGACAAAGGATGAGGAATTGGCAGGAGAAGCAATTCATCCAATCAGAGCCTTCAGCAATTTACCAATCGTCTTGTTGATTTCGTAGCCAATGGCTTTATTGCGCGCGAGTTTTGAAAACCAAGGAGACCAATCAGAATGTTTCTCAGTCTATATAACGATAATCTCTTCTGGCACAACTTCTAAGCCTTTGTTGTTTTCTCTCCTTCTCTGCTATGGCCCGTACAAAGCAGACCGCGCGCAAGTCTACCGGCGGCAAGGCGCCGCGGAAGCAGCTGGCCACCAAGGCCGCCCGCAAGAGCGCCCCGGCCACCGGCGGCGTCAAGAAGCCTCACCGCTACCGGCCGGGCACCGTGGCGCTGCGCGAGATCCGCCGCTACCAGAAGTCCACCGAGCTGCTGATCCGCAAGCTGCCGTTCCAGCGCCTGGTGCGCGAGATCGCGCAGGACTTCAAGACCGACCTGCGCTTCCAGAGCTCGGCCGTCATGGCGCTGCAGGAGGCCTGCGAGGCCTACCTGGTGGGGCTGTTCGAGGACACCAACCTGTGCGCCATCCATGCCAAGCGGGTCACCATCATGCCCAAGGACATCCAGCTGGCGCGCCGCATCCGCGGGGAGAGGGCGTAAAGCTCCCTTCCCTTGGCTTTGCCTTTACCTAACATACGCAAAGGCTCTTCTAAGAGCCACCCACTTTGCTGAAACAGCTGTAATTACTTGGGCTAGTCGATGTTGGAAGGTATGAATACTATAAGTTTCTTTCAATGTGGTATCACCCTTTGCTCGGTGTGTACCTATTTTCATAAGTGCGGATTATGTTAATTTTGAAGTTTGGGAATTATGTGTTCAATCAAACTGAGCTACGTCCCCAGACCTTTTTTATTTTTACTTTGAAACAGGGTCTCTAAAAGTTACTGAGGGCCTGTTTAAATTGCTGAGGCTGGCCTCTAACTTGATTCCCATGTCTCAGCCTTTGGAGTTGCTGGGATTACAGGTGTGGGTCCCTGCAGTGGACTAGTAGTATCTGCTGCTTCATTCCTTTAACAATCATATTTGGGAATGGCATATTCTGGTTTTTACAGAGGCCATTGGAAGGGATCTAACTTGCTGTAGATGAGATGCACAGCACTGAGTAAGAGCACAAGAGTCTCTCGTTTAAGCAGCTTCTTTATTTTTAGTCTCAATTGTGCTCCACTGTGAAAAGTAGAACTTGGTTTTTCTTTTTTCTTTTTTGGATCTTTCAGATGAATGCTGATCTGGAGCTTTTTTACAGTAGGAGACAGAATGTGCCGTTCTAAAAATGTTCCTTTGGCACAAGGATTGTGGATCTGAAGGTAATTAAGCAGGAGCAGATGAAGAATAATTCTGCTTGGTCCTTTTCCTCTTGTGTTGGCTGGCACTTCTCTAAAAATTTACTATTCTTTTTTGAAGGTGCTCTGTAAGTCTGAATTCAAAGCCACTTCTTTTAAAAACGACTATCTCTCTGGGTGTCCTCGATGTGAAGCCAGAATTAGGCAGTTAGTATAGATAGGTAAATTGAGTCAGGCCAATCTTGAGTGAGACCCAGCAAGTTGGAGGCTGCAGTTAGTATAGATAGGTAAATTGAGTCAGGCCAATCTTGAGTGAGACCCAGCAAGTTGGAGGCTGTCCCCTGAGGGACTGAATCGTTAACTCCTTCAGAGCCCTTCTACCACCTTTATCTAGAACCTGTCCCTGCTCCAACCTGTTGCTAAGGTAACCTGTCCCAGGAGTTGCCTCTCCCTACAGGGAGCTAATTGTTAATGTGTCCTGGGCTGCTCCACCCTGCCCTTCCCCCTTCAGCCCACCTGTTTCCCACCTTTTGTCCATCCCACCGAGCATTCCCGGGCCTAGACACCTTCAGGAAGGAGAAGGGTAAGGGGGAAAGGCAGGAGAACACAGGAAGCCTGGGACATATAAAAAGGGAAGAACACCTGGATTCTTGGGATACCAGGACACCAGCTATGGCCCCTTCTCCCTCCCAGGAGAAGTGTATGTGACCTAATTTAAATAAGCCCTGCTTTTTATGCTTGCTTTCCTAATGTTCAGACTTCAACATGTGAGGGAGCAGAACCCCGATAACCAGCAGCATCTGGTTATACATTTTCACATGTATATCTGTGAAACATGTAGATTAGTCTTCTGAAGTTTTCTCTTGGTAATCTCTTCTTATGGCATCTAAGTATTTGAGAGTTAAGGAAAGCATTATTTTTTCTTCCTTAAAAAACAGGGAGACAGCAAAAGTCTATAAGAGTTAGTGTTGGGTTGAGTTTAAAACCTACTGACAGTACTTCTGCTTACCAGCTTTATGGCCACAGGCAAATTGGCTGGCCCTGGTAAGACTAGATTTATAAGGATTTCGCATCACAATGACTTTAAGGACCAGGTAAGCCTTCATTGTATAGGGACAGTGGTGATGGAAGAAAAGTGGTGCAGGACAGATCAAACATGTACCTGGGATAAGAAGTGGGTTTATTGTCAGGAGCCTGACAAAGGGGCTCTGCACAAAGAGAGACAACAGCAGTGACTCTCCTTTGAATGTTACCTTTTATAGGCAGGAACCACAGCCAGGGGCAAGGGGCGACTTTAGTCTTGATTGACATAATAAGAATCTCCGGTGGAAGGCAAGTTTGTTTCTTGGGAACAGAGACAAGCAGTTTTCCTATCTCAGAGGAGGAACACAAAAACTGGCAGGTCTCTTTATCTTAAGGAGAGAACAGGGAAACCAGTATGTTCCCATCTCAGGGGCTGGTAACTTGTCTCCTATCTCTCAATGAGAGAACAGGGAGAGACTGGCCCTCTCCAGGCCGGTAAGTTTTGTCTTGGGCTAGTTTCTATTTCTTGGGAATAAGAACAGTATTCATAAAGTGGGGTTGGGGGAAAGGAAGGTGGCTGCAATTATGCTAACAGTGAGCAATCCAGTTTCCCTGGGTCTCAGTAACTAAAAGATCTGGTTGAATCCAAGGTAGATAGATCCCTGTTTATCACCTATAATTTCTGTGTAGCTTTCTGTTTGCTCAGTCTATTTGCTTGATACCAGTGTTGACAGCTTCCTTTTACATTGTCCAAGTGGTCAAGAATTCATGATTTAACAGTCCAAAGTTCTGTAATTTAGTGCCTACTGGAGGATTTCATAAGGAACATTTTGTTTAATCTGCATAGTATCTCTATGGGTTGGAGGTCATTAGACTAATTGCAAGGATGAAGAAAGAGGTATGTTGGGCTCAAGGGCCTCACACAGGAACTCATTTGGATGATTAAGTCCTGGCCTTTATTTCAAGGCTAAGAAAGATGGACATTATGTTCTGCATATTTTTATTTTCCTTAATTAATCCATGCACTCAACAAAGACCTGGTATACCACTGAGCCATTGTAAGGGATCTGACTGTTTTTGCTGTAGATGAGATGCAGGGCACTGAGAGGAGTTGAGCTCAAGAGTCTCTGTTTGTCTCTCATTTAAGCAGCTGCATTATTTTTAGTCACAATTGTGCTCCAGTGTGAAAAGTAGGACTCGGTTTTCTTTCATTTTGTGTTTCTCAGATCTTGAAAATACCCCTAGACATGGAAACTTTTTGACTACTGACTCTGTGCTCTGCATTGTTCTAGGTGCTAGAGATATGAACATGGGTGATGTCCCTTCTGTGTGGGGTATTCTCAATATTGTGGGAGACAGAAAGTAGACATCCCCCACAAAAAATGTGTGTGTGTGTGTGTGTGTGTGTGTGTGTGTGTGTTAGAGAAAAAAAAAGATGAAGAATGCATACAAAAGAACATCCCACTGGGAAAAATGCAGAGAAAAGGCCACACTAACTACAAAGGAGGCTAGGAAATGAGACCCACTGTGGAATAGTGAGGAAGAAAGAGATTAACATCTAGTGAGCCCATATGTCTGAAGGTTTACAGAGTTCAAGTGGAACTCGGGACCAAGAGTTAGTGTCATATATCTGTCATTTAAGTATTATTTCTTGCTCTAAATTCCTTTCCAGATTTCCAAAAACCTTGTTTTCTACAATCTGTATGACAAAAGCTCTGTTCTTTCTTGATAGTAGTAGTAAGAGCTGTGAAATAGAAGTAAAGAGTCTGTCGGGCCCAACTCTAAATGAGCTTGAACAAGTCAAATCATCACTATGAACATTACTGTATTATCTTAGCAAATGAAGAAACAAACTGAATGATTCTGCATGCCTAAGGCCACCTAGATGGAAAATGATGACATGCTTTTCAACTTGGGCAGCCGACTTTAAAACTCTGCGATTTTAAGTATGTTCCATTGCTTTCCTATAGTTGTATTCATTATTAGTTTCCTGATGGGACAATGTTTCATGTTATAGATAACGGGGACCAAATCTGGTTCATCTTTGTGGTATGACTGAGTGATAGATGTAGTTGAGTGAGGTGGGCAATTCAGAAGGATAACTTTGAGGGACATGGAAGAGTATCTTGAAATGAGAGAGCTGAGTGTGTAGAGCCATAAGCAAGGCTGCATATTATGGGGGGATCGTCAGTGTGGTCAGGGTTCTCTGGAGGAACAGAACTGATAGGAAACTCCCCAGATTTATTAGAGTGGCTCACACTATCAGAGGCTGGATAGTCTCATAATTGCTGTCTATAGGCCAAAAATTGTGGAAACCAGTAGCTGCTCCATACAAGAAGCTGGAGCCTTAGAACAAGAGGGACAAAAGATGCAGCCCCACTCTGAGGCTAAATACCTGGAAACTTCCTAGAGAATTACTGAGGCAGTCTATGTGAAAGGTGGAAGAAGCTGGATTTGATTGTCCTCAGTCAATGGCCGCTGCAAGCCAAACCTGCCTACGGGTGCTGGCGGGCTTCCTCCTCCTTCCATATATTCCATCTGGGCCCCCAGAGTATTGGATGGTACTGCCCTTAGTTTGCTGTTCCACATACCAAAGGTGTCTGGAAACCCTCACAGACACACTCAGAAGTGCTTCACTAATTTCCTAGGCATCTCAGTCCAGTTAGGTAGATAATCAAGATTGGCCATAACAAGTCCAACTGTTGTCACCTGCATATAGCCAAAAATACATTAATTCCTTCCACAGAATAGAGGGAAAGGTTTTTTTTTTTTTTTTCTGAGTGATTATACTTTTCTTGACATCCAATAACTTATAGAATAAAGTACTGACAATAAATATCATGTTTGGGCTGGGGATGTGGCTCAAGCAGTAACACGTTTGCCTGGCATGCATGGGGCTCCATTTGATCCTCAGCACCACATAAAAATAAAATAAAGATGTTGTGTCCACCTAAAACTAAAAAAAAATAAATATTAAAAAAATTATGCCTCTCTCTCAAAAAAAAAATAAATATCATGTTACACGACAAAAGAAAGAAAAGAACTCAAAGATATCTCTGTTCAATATATTTGTAGATATGCACAAACATATGCCTAACAAAATAGGAGATACTCTTTATAATATCATTTGTTCAGCTGTCATGTTGTAGCTGTTATTTGTAGTCACCTTATTTGCTACTCATTCTACCTTCAGCAAGCACTACAGCAGGTCTTGGTTCTTTACCTGGAGTGAGTGGTGACCCACAGCTGCATTCCTGAAGGGTCTGGGCCATTTCTCATCTGCCTGGATTGGGTTGTTGTAGTTTCCCTTCGACCTTAATATCAGGATACGGTAATTCCAAGAGACATCCTAAGGGATCTCTGGCATTCAAGGCATACTCTTCTTTACCTCAATTGTTGGAATAAAAGTCCAAATTCCCCATGGGAATCTGTATCAGTCACCCCTGCCAACACCATAACTCCGTTCTTAGCCTGTTGCTCAGGAAGTATTAACTTTCAGGTTGATGGAATATCACTGTTGTGCTCTTGCTAGAAGCATTCCCCCTTCTGGAGCTAAGACTACTAAGCCAGCAGAGCATAAGGATATAAGGACAGGAAGCAAACATTTTGCTTAAGGGTCATAGTGAGTGGTACCATACTGGTTTCTATCCCTTAATCCCTGAATCCTAGAGAAACAGTACCATATATAGTGGATACTGTTTTAGAGCAGATGTAGTCTTCGGGAGAACCCTGCCCCAGCCCTGCAAGGTATGGCTTCCTAGCCTGGAGTTGTAACTGTGTCTTCCAAAGGCCATTCCACTGTTTTGTCAAACCAGTTGCTTCAGAATGATGAAGAACATGGAAAGACCAGAGAATGCATGAACATGAGTCCATTGCCATACTTCTTTGTGAAGTGAGTTCCTCGGTCAGAAGCAAGGTTGAACATCTCCACAGTGGATAAGGCATTCTGTAAGTCCACAGATGATAGTGTTTGCAGAAAAAGCAGATCCATACTCAGCCTAAGTGTCTATCCCAGTGCTGCTGC